CCCAAATCCACGGGGAAACCCCAAAACCATGGGGACCCCCCAAACTATGGAGAAACCCCAAATCCACGGGGAAACCCCAAATCCATGGGGACCCCACAACTCACAGAGCACACCCCAAACTATGAGAAAACCCCAAATCCATGGGGAACCCCCAAACTATGGGGGACTCCCCCACTCCACAGGGAGCCCCCCATGTCCGTGGGGACCCCAAACCCCCTTGGGGACCCCAAAATGTCCCCCCCGTGTCCCCATCACTCACAGCTGGCGGGAGTAGAGCCCCTCATCGATCTCGGCCTCGGCCCCGTTCTTCGCCATTCCCTGGGGACAGAGGGGACAGCGGTGTCACCACGGGGACACTGAGGGTGACAACGGTGCTGTGACACCCTGGGACAGCGAGCAGGACCCCCAAGGGGTGGCAGGGGGTGACAGCAGGGATGGCAGGGCTGTGGTGTCACTCTGTGGTGACAACATTGGGCAGGTGACACCTTGTGGGTGACACTGCCCATTGTTGAAGGGACATTGGGGACCTGGGGGACAAATGTCACCCTCAGGACAAAGAAACAAGCCAAGAGGGACAATAAATGACTCTGAGCAGAGTTAGGGGACATCGAGAAACACACGGCACCCCCAGGAGACACCACATCCCCAGCAGCAGCTCTGAGCACCACAGAGGTGACAATGACACCACGGGCTCCCCAGAGGGTGACAAAGCCCCCATGGGCACTCAGGGTCCCCGAGGGGGTGGTGGCACTCAGGAGGGGGTGGTGGCACTCACGTTGGCGGGGGTGACGCTCGGGGACACGGCGGGGGCAGGGGCGCGGCTGGAGCCCGTCGGTGGCTCTGACCCAGAGACGCGGCGCTTCTTCGACAGCGGGGAGCTGGACATCTGGGGACAGGGACAGTCAGGGGACAGCTGGGGACAGGGACAGTCAGGGGACAGCTGGGGACAGGGACAGTCAGGGGACAGCTGGGGACACGGACAGGTCAAGGGACAGCTGGGGACAGGGACAGCCAGGGGACAGCTGGGGACATCTGGGGACAGGGACAGTCAGGGGACAGCTGGGGACAGGGACAGTCAGAGGACAGCTGGGGACACGGACAGTCAGGGGACAGCTGGGGACAGGGACAGGGACAGTCAGGGGACAGCTGGGGACATCTGGGGACAGGGACAGCCAGGGGACATCTGGGGACAGGGACAGTCAGGGGACATCTGGGGACACGGACAGGTCAGGGGACAGCTGGGGACAGGGACAGTCAGGGGACAGCTGGGGACAGGGACAGCCAGGGGACAGCTGGGGATACGGACAGGTCAGGGGACAGCTGGGGACAGGGACAGTCAGGGGACAGCTGGGGACACGGACAGGTCAGGGGACAGCTGGGGACATCTGGGGACAGGGACAGTCAGGGGACAGCTGGGGACAGGGACAGTCAGGGGATGCACGGGGACAGGGACAGGTCAAGGGACAGCTGAGGACACCAGGAGACAAGGACAGGTCAGGGGACACACAGGGACATCCATGGGCAAAGGGAAGCTGGACATCTGGGGACAAGGACAGGTCAGGGGACAGCTGGGGACAGGGACAGGTCAGGGGACAGTTGGGGACAGGGACAGCAAGGAACTGGACATTTGGGGACTGCCAGCTGGACATTTAGGGACAGGGACAAGGGACAGGCAGTCACACGGGGACAGTGCTGGGACACTGGGAGAGACATGGGGTGATGCTGGGGGCGAGAGGTGACATCTGTGGTGACCTGAGGTCACCGACAGCCGGGGTGACACAGAGGGTGGCACTGAGCAGGACACAGTGACACACTGGTGACAAGAGGTGACACCAGGCACAGGGGATGATGTGGAAGTGATACCAGGTGACACTGGAGGTGGCACTGAGGGACACGAAGGGATGGAGAGAGTGATGCAGGGTGACACCAGGTGACAATGGGGACACAGAGAGTGACACCAGGGACACAGAGGGTGACACCAGGTGACAGCAGGGACACCAAGGGTGACACCAGGTGACAGCGGGGACACCGAGGGTGACACCAGGTGACAGTGGGGACACAGAGGGTGACACCAGGTGACAG